GTTATGGCCGTAAGTACTGCGAGTTCTTAGATTACTACCAGAACTTTATCCTGTACTTATTATTTGTTGATTAAAAATTTGTTACTACTCTTCTCTCGGTTGGTTAGACCCGAATCTCGACCAAAGTGTGTGTAGACGCTAAACTTGGTTTTAGGTTGTTTTTGGCACTGCTTGATTCCTGCTATGTGTTCAGAGGATTATGTTAGCAGGTTGTCACTTTGCGGTGAAAATGTTTTGCGCTTATAACGTGTAGATGTACCTGGCGCTACTTTACGTATGTTTTAACCATCTCATGTTGACGACGTTAATTAAAAACAGTTCCATCACTAGTTACCGTCTTAATAATACTAAATAAGAATTCTACTTTAGCTGGTCATGACTGTGTGGTATTTAAGCATGTGTTTTGTATAAGTATATCTCGCACTATTTTATTGGCCAGATTCGTCTAATAATGTGAATGATATGTTGAAATAGTGCTATCACTAGTACACGCGTACTAATTGTTAGTACCTCTTCTGATATTAAGGATGTATATTTATGATTCGTATCACAGAATGCCTCTAGCTGATAAAGTGAGGCGAAAAACATCGTTCAATGCGGGTACTTTGTTAGCTTAATGTTGTATGTAGCCCGTTTTGAGGTAATACTTGTTAGAAATTGGTTTTAAGGTTGATTGTGGTAATCATTGGTCAGACTACTTCTGTCGTATTGCTGGAGGAAATGACTAGCAACTTTGTAGTTCAATGTCAAGTTTTCTAAGCCAGTGAATGGCCGCCGCGGTGGCATTCTGTGCTTAGTTATGTTGCCGTCGAACTTTTGCAGCGGGCATTCGGAAATAATGTGCTGCGTAGTCTGATCTGTATGACCGCAGTCACACTGCGGGCTGGACTTCATTTTTCAGCGATGGAGAAGGTGTCCACAGCGTCCTTGTCCTGTTCGATTCCTGTTTAATTTCGACGATTCTGGGCGATTCAAGTCCATCCCATGGGGTTCTGTGGTCGGATTGGAGATTAAGTTTTTATGGACAGCTATAACGTCCCACTCTGCTCGCCACCGTTCTTCGGGACTCAGGCGCGGTGGCGTTGCTCGTTCCCATGGTGGGGGCCGTTATTTCAGGCGTCGTGTTAGTCGTTGTTGGATAACACGATGGGTGGGTTATTCGCGATTTCTTTCAATGTTCTGCAAAATGCGATACGCCTTCTAGCCCCTCCGGAGGTAGGAGGTTCAGGGTGCTCCAAAATCGGTTACCACTGTGTTTGGGTTGGCGTCAGAGTTCCTGTAACTGTTCGCATCGCATCGATGCGCTGCCTGTCTAATTTGCTCGTGTGGCAGCTGTGGCTCCAAACAGGGGAACACAAACACCCTGCGACAGAAAACACAAACACCATGACCATAGTGCGCAGCACGCGGGCACCTGCTCCACAAGAGGTGCCGACAAGTTTTCGTAACAAATTTATTCTTGTCTTGATCTTCTGCTGTGTCTTTTGCAGCTGTGGCTTAAATGACAGGGTTCGATCAAGAGTGACGCCCAAATATGTTAGCGTCGTTTCGTGCTGTAGATGTTGACCATAGTACTCAACTGTGAGCTTCTCCTTGACCAGTCGATTGTCCAGATGGAAAACCGTCGCGCAAGTCTTTGTCGGGTTCGGTTGTAGCTTCCATGTCAAAATACTGCTTGATGATAGCGAGGTCAGACGTGAGTATGCAGCTTAACATCGGTTAAGCCGGTATGCTCGGTTGCTAGCATGATATCACCGGCATAAACGAATTTCTTCGACGCTTTGGTGAGAGGTCGCTGGTATAGATGTCAAACAGCGGTGGAGAAAGTACTGCCCAATATGGGAGTCCGTTTTTAAGGATCCTTTCCTTATTCACTCGCCCATCGATATGGGCCCGGTACCAATGGCCGCTAATCATGGCTGCAATGAGACAAAAAGTCTTCTGGCATCTGATTATTATAGAGACTTTGCACATGAGACCATCACGCCAGACCATATCATAATCCGATGATAGATCGATCTAAACCACCCCTGTTTTTCTTTCCGTTGGAATTTTGCCTCATTGAAGCTGGTGAGCGAAAGCAGTTGCTTGCAACAATTGCGTCCAGATCGAAAGCCAGCTTGTTCCACTGGGAGGGCGGCTTCAATTACAGGAGAAAGTCGCGCCAATAAAATTCGCTCTATCAGTTTCCTAGCCGTGCACAGTAAAGAGATAGACCTGTAACTGTCTGGCTTCTCTGGAGGTTTTGCTGGCCTTAGGTGGGCGATGTCTTTAGCACGCCGCCAGGCGGAAGGAATTTTTCTGATAGTATTGATTGCCGTGAAAAGAGTGGCCAGCCATTGTCGGCCCTTTGGACCCAAGTTCTTAATAAATTCCAGAAAAATTTCATCCACACCAGCAGACTTCTTGTTCTTCGTGGCCATCAGTGCCACGTTTATTTCCTCTAAAGCGTATGAAGTGGATGGTGGGCTTGTTTCAGGGCAGCTGTTAAGGTCAGGAAAATATTCTTTCTGCACTATCTTGCGGACGCCTTTGTCTATCGGTGTTTCAGACATATGGAGGAAGTGAGCAGCAGTGACGTCAGCGGAGACTTTTGCTACTCGGTGCTTTGTGAGTTAAGCTGCGCCAAGATAGTGGAGCAGTGCCCATGCCTTGGCGACTAGAATGTGTGAAATCCAGTGTTTCCACAGTTTTCCACCATCGTTTCTGCCGCTCTGAATTCAAGGATTCGACGAGATCAGCTGCAATTTCAAGAGATCCTCGGCGTTTGTACTCCATATAGAGTTCCTCTCTTTCGACCAGCAAGGGGTGTAGGTCTTCCGGCATACACTAGGGATGCTGTTTGTCATAGCAAAGATCAGTATTAGACCAAAAATGCCAAATGCTTAAGGCGTAGGCAAGACCCGTTGAATACGGGCTTCGACTTCAGCAGTGTACGATGACTAGTTTGCTTTTCGAAAGTTTCAGCGAGATAGTTGATCAGACTGAATTAGCGGTACCTGAAGACCGATTCGCAGCACAAAAGGGCGGTGCTGGCTTTTTGGAAAGAATCCAAGCACTGTCTAGTACTACTGTCTTTGGAGACGAAACAAAGGTCGGGGCTACGGTCTGTCTTCCATCTTGCTGTTCTGAAAGTGCCCTGCTGTTAGCATCGTGGCGCAAGTGTACACCAGCTGCTGATGCCCAGTCGATTAGTTGTTTACCTGCCGCGTTGTTCACGGTGTACCCCATGGAGTATGGTGGCTGTTAAAGTCGCCCGCATAAACAGTGGTTGGTAATGGTGTTGGCCAATTGGTTCCGAGACTCTTATATATGTTCATTTAGCGATTTCTCCAACGGTCACTGTGTGTTCGCCAATCCGATTTTCGCTGCTGTTTACCGCCACGACGTCCATGAGGTTTGATCTGGCATTGTAGCTAGATCGTGTTTAGAGTCACAGGTATTAGCAACCATACTGAACCCAGCAATTTTGTATCCGGCTGCTTTGCAATCATCTTCGATGTGCGTCTCTTGCAGAATGGCGATGTCAGTCTTGTTTTCTTTTAACGTCCTTGATAGATATTCACATTTTGCGTAGGAAATGCCTTCGACGTTCAACGGAAATATGAGTGTGTGGTCCACGGCTTCATTTCTTTGGCCTTCATGAAGACTGTTGGATTTGTTCACTCTTCTTCTGTGGCCTTCATAAGGACCGTTTGATTTATTTCGTACTGGTTTACATGTTTGGTTCTGAGAAGAACTGTTAGATTTGTTGCTAGTCGAGGCGAGAGATTGCTTTCGCAACGTTCGACTGCCAGTGAAGACTGGTGCTTTGGCGTACTTTCGCAATGCTTAATAGGAACACCAC